ATATATATATATATATATATATATATATATATATAGAGTTGACAATGTGTTCATTGCTAATGTCTGTCAACGATAATGTATCCATTGTCAACAAACCTATCTTGACTTATTCGTCTTAAAATTTTATTAAATCCAGATGTACTGGAACGATATTTGTTACAGGAAGTGCCATAATTAACGACGGTACCGTATCCAGACGACATTCCAGTCTAAGATGGCAACCACCGAATATACCTTCTGGCGCAATCATCTTCTTGGCAAGTGTCATACACTCTAAACATTTATATCATATCCGGTCATCTTTTCTTTCGCCAGTCTCCAATTCCACTCGATGTTTGTTTCAATTCTTTTAATTTTTACTTAAATTATTGTAATTTTCGAAATGAACAACAAATTAATTTCGATTTTCTATTTTTAATCGCCAATTTATATTTAATTATCATTTGGTTGCATTCAATACATATTCCAGTGTCTATTAATTATTCCAATTATCATTTAGTAAACTTTTAGATATATATATATATGGTGGTTTGGTTAGATTAATATTATCTTACGACATTTTCCCTGAAATATCAAAAGAAAGTATTCCAAAGGAATATAAAAAGGGATTTTGAAATGAACTTGGTTTTAAAATTTTTAAAATAATTTCAGTAACTAAACAAGGTTGTGGTACTTCATATGGTTGTTTTAAAATTGGTAATCAACAGTGCCTATTTGGTGAATCATGCCATTTTTCACTAAAATGGCGCTGTTATAAAAAATCGATGATTGTTGAAGCCACACATTACGGTCATGTTGCTTCCTTTGGTTTAACTGAAGTATGCAAATTTATTTTAATTGACTTTAAACTTGATAGGAATTCTTCGTGTCCTGTTATTCAATAAAAGCAATATGTAATATAACATGTATTTAAGATGATGCAATTCAAATATTGCTTAATTAAACATATGAAAATTATTGCTTTCCATGAAGGGAAAGCAATAATTGAAAATAGTAATTTAATGGTCATAAGGTCAAAGGGTAAGACTGAACGATAATTGGCAAATGGAAGAATTGATTAACAATAAATGACTATTGATTGAAGAATACATAGTTTAATGGAGAATTTCAGTTTATGCCAGTCTTATATTAGTTCATTTTTACAACATTGACCTCTAACCTTTTCTTATTATTTACTTACTTTATATTTGTTCTATTTTTCCATCTACCTTGATATGCTAACTAATGATATCTTACGGTATTTAATTCTCAATAAAGTAAAAGTAATTTATATATAGAGCGAAAAGCGTGCAGTATTGTGTATTTCGACAAATAATAACTCTTCGATGAATGATTACTATATAACCGGTGATCAGGGCTTCCCAAATGTTTTCCATCGACCGCATAGCAAACGATTAAAAACAATTAACGATGGTGTGCGTACCTTTTGCCGGTAAATCATTTTAATGAATTTTTTTTTTCAGTTTACTAATTTTGTATTTTAATATAAATTATTTACGGCAAATATAAATTCTTTTGCTCAAATAAAAATCTTGATTTTTTCTTTTTTTTTCACCAGTTTGATGCAGTTTAAAATATTTTTAAATGTACAAATGTCAATTTTTAAAAGTTTTATTTTTAAAACTTTCTTTTTTCAGATTTTAATTTTTATCAAAATTATAATAGGATCGGATAAATGGAAATATTAATTATGAAATTATTAATAAATATTTATCGAGTATTTTTTGTTTCTCTTTTAAATCTTTAATTCTTCTTTTTCCAGTTTTGAAATGGAACGTCCAAGAAGAAATACATCGATATTATTATTTGGAAAGGTTAATTCATGTAAGTTAATCAATTCATCAATCGATCATTCAATAAATCTTCATATTTGTCAATATTAAAATTACATTTTTTTTTTTGTTATAAAAATTAAAGCAAATTGAAAAAAAAACACTCCAAAATAGGCAATCAAATTTTCATATACTTTTCCAGTTCTGTATAAAATTACTGATTACCAACTAATTAATTAATATCTCTTTTCTTTTCCACAGATGGTCATCCATATAAGTTGCGTAAATGGAGGATACCTGGATCGAATATGTGTAATCCGAGTTCAATTTCATCCGGTGTAACCAGGTTACCATCAACTGTTCACATATCATCTTCCAATGTTCATCCAAGTGCCAATGCTTGTTCCTATATGTTTCATATTTTATTTGTTATTTTATTATGTTTTAATTATTTGTAATGATGACATCATTGAATGTAATGTTTGTTATATTTTTTGTTTTTGAATATTTTCAAATAAAAAAATCTTCCGTCATTTCATTTCCATTTGCTGTTAATTAGTAATAATGAAATAGAAATTTTTATGGAAACGAACGATGCCTAACAACTTTTTTAATATTCCCAAAATAATCACATTGATATTTTTAAGGTTTTCTTATAGGAATTTACGGGATTTGGGATATATCTCTGATGTTTCTTTATATGAGATTTACTTTGTGATTTTTTTTTACATAAAATTTATGAGGCTTGGGATATTGTGAAATCATTCATATTTCAACTGAAGAAACAATAAACTACCTCCTTCATCGGCAACATTAAACAATTAAAATGCCAATAATGTCCGAGCAAAAATCTCTCTGCTTGTATTCATTTCTTAAATGATATGCAAATTATACTGGGAATATTAACACATATACAATATCAACTAATACCTTAAAAACCTTTGATAACTTTGGTTCATTTAAGTTAGGAAGCTTTCAAAGATATCAAACTTTTTTTCAAGTTTCCTTTGTGCTAAATTGAATTGGTTCAATTCTAAATATTTTAAAATTACACGAAAGTTCCATCACATTTGAATGCATTTAGGCATGCAAAAGAAACTTGGAAGCCAATTGTCTGTCTAGTTTTTGCCTAACCATTTCAAATTGACTTGTCATGCAAAATTGCTTTGCTATTCAAAAAGAAAAAAGAGTTAGAAAAGGAAAAATAAAAAAGAATGGAAATGTTAGGAAATACTCAAGAGAAATTGTAGAAATATTGAGGCAAACATTTGAGCTCAGTTGTCGCATTTAATAACATTGACATGCTAATATTTCTTTCCACTTACTTTTTCTATAAGCCTCATTCATGTTAAAGCTAAAATTGAAACTGAAAAAATTAAAACGAACAAATGAAATGCTTCACTGCGAAAATATTTTTTCAAAAAAAAAAAAAGAAGGAGGAATGTTAATTGAATTACAAATGTGACGGATTTCATTCAAAATGGATTTGCTTTTTTTTAAATTTAATTGAAAAGGCTAGATGGATTATTTGTTTTTCCTTTCATTTAAGCTTTGTATGTGTTTTATTAGCGTATTTTTTTTCGTTTTTTTTAAGTGTTAAATTTATTGCTTTTAATTTTTGTTTATTAAAATTGAATTGAAATATTTCGTTTTATTTTGACTTTGTTGTATTTCCGTCTACTTGTCCTTGGTCATCTTTCCTTTCTTTTCCTTTTAGTTTAATTTTTTAATTTTATTTTTATCAGTTTTTATCAATTGGAATTTTAAATCTTTCATTACTAGAGAATATTTCTTCATAAATTTATTTTACTATTATTGCAACCATTATAAATGATAATTTTATTATAAAATAATTAGTTAAAATGCTAGTTTAGTTCATCACTAAATGCACATATGCATATATAATTTAATTCAATTCCTTCCATTTTATGTCCTTATTAAAATTTTCATGTAAACGATTTCCATTGCTGTTACCCTAGTTATCTGTATATTGATTATTTTTATTTCACCAAATTTGAAACTAAAAATACTAAAAATTTTTGCTCTAAAATTGAACTTGAGAAAAAAATCTTCGAATAAAAATTTTTCTTTGGTGTTATTTTTAATAGAAGTGATAAGTTGTTGATAACAAACTTCTTCTACATATTGAAGGATGATGACACAATTAGAGCAAAGAAACTTATCTCACACGAATGCCAAACTCATTTAGATGGGAAGAATTCATTAGCAGTTAATTTGATGTTAAGCCAGGAAGAAAAATATCACAAGCCAAGAAGAAAAGTATTGCAAGCCAAGAAGTGACGAGTAAGTAATACTTGGAATTCAGACAACAGCAACAAAAACGGTTCCTGATTCAATTGCTATACATTTTACTGTACAGCTATATGTTAAATGCAGTAACAAAAAAAAAAATTTTTTTTTAAAAAAATCTTTTTTCAAATAAAGCTTCTCAAAAAAAAGAATTTCTTTAAAAAAAAAATTTTGTTCACTTTTCAGAAATGAATAAACAAATTAATACTTCAGGTATGCTATCCGGAAATGAACATCGAACAGAGAGTGCTTCAGATATATTTAATTTGTTTTAAACTTACCTGTTTGGGTCATTGCACGAAACTAAACAAATCAATTAATAAATCAATAAATCGAAGTTATTTTTCGTCGATTGTAACAATTTTTTAAATCAGTGATTGGTAAAGAAGCTAGAAGAAGAAAGAAGTGCAGAAATAGATTTGCATTGATTGTTTTCTATCAAATCGAATTTTTATTTCTTTTTTTATTTTAATAAAATAATTTAAAAGAATGGGATGGATCACATTTGTCGCACAGGGGAGAGGGGAGAGAGAGAGAGAGAGAAAGAGAGAGAGAGAGAACTGAAAACAAAATAAAGGAA